GCACTAATTTAGGCTCCTTTTTATTTTATAGAGACCCTGTGCCGTCGCCCAACTTGCACCGTGCCTCCACTGCCCTGATTTTAGTTTTAATAATTAAAAAGTTAGGAGTAAATTTAATTTATTTGTATACTCCTTTAATTTCATTCATGGGCAAGTCTTGTATGTGGCTAGCCACAAAGTATGTCCACATTGATTTATAATTGTAATATTCATTTATATGTATGAATAACCTCATTTTTTTTATAAGAGTAACCCTATGTAGTCTATAAAAGTAACCCAAATTCATTATACGAGTGAAATCAAGTAATTTATATAGAAATAAGTAACCCCATTTGTTCATTCAAGCAATTAGGAATGGTTTTAGTCTTCTAGATTCTTCTATAAGGTTCTTTTCATTCCTAATTCAATTAGCATTGATAAGTTGACTTTGTTGACTTTTCAGAGTTTTAATTAAAATCAAATAGCATTTTCGAAGAAATTATATTATTTTATCCTCCAGTACGGTAAACTTATCGGATTTTTGAAAACGCGTTAAAATCAAGCTTGGCGTCCAACCCCAGGCCTTGGCGCCTGGAACCAGGCCTGGCGCTAGTCATTGACGCTTGGCGCTAGTGCTGGTGCTTCGCGCCAGCTAGCCAGGGTTGGCGCCAGCTCTGTTTCCTGAGCGTCAAACTCTGTTTTGTTAATTTATTTTTTTTGGCTGATTTTCTCTATAAATATCGTATTAAAAACTCCGTTTTCATGGATCATCTACATCTATCATCTACATCCTTTCATTCACCAATTCTCCTCATTCACATGTTTTCCTCAACAATTAGTTTTAATTAGCATTCTTTCATTCATCTTTCCTCTAAACTTTGGTTTTCAAATACAAAATTCTGCATTCGCAAGATCTAGAAATACCTAGCCATATTCGAAGTTGCCTTCGCCCTAGACGTGAAAGGTTTTAATTTCTGAAGGTTTGGTCCCAAATCTCTATTTCAATCATTTAATTTAATTGTTTGTTTATTATTTTCCTTGAAGTTACTAACGTGTGTATTTTGTTATTAGAAAGAGGTACGAGGCATCAAAGTAAGTGCTTTAATGGTTTTAATTGATATTATGATGTAGGATCATGTTTACATTGTTATTATGATATTCCTAGTATCATGTCTAGATTATTTTTAATATTAAATATGATTGTTATGATGTTTCCTATGTTCTTCCTAATATTTATGATTGTTAGTATCATGTTAGGGTTAAAGATTTGATTTTTATTGCTTAGTGACATGCTAGGGTTTGTTATTAATCTTGTTAGTATCATGCCTAGGATCTTGCTATTATTATTATGCTTTAATATTAACATGAACATGATTATGATTATAATCGTTATAATTTATGATGATTATGAATATTATTATGATTATTATTATGATTATTTATTATGTTGTTTGATGATATTTATTTTTATTGCTTGATCACACCTTTTGTGCATGTTTAAAGGGAATTGGTGCTTGTAATCATGCTTAATAAGATAATTAATAATCTTGTTTAGGGTTAATGTGATTATAATTCAAGTGATCGCCAATAATAGTTTATTTGTGCATTAAATTCAACAAACATAGATTAAAAAGGTTTAGGGTTAATCCTAATGATTGCATGTTAATCAGAAAGCGCACATAAATACGATCAGAATAAAGTAGAGGCCTATTATTAGGGCAGGTTCAATCTCTTTTAGGTTGGATTTGTACCTTCATCCCCGAACCCTTATTTGGTTCTAGACCTTATGGAGTTGACGATCTCTTGGATCGTTAAGGGGTGTAACCTTCACCTCGTGAACGGTTTACAAGTTCCTAAAAAACTTGTTGGCGACTCTTTTGCTCTATCTTCTTCCCTTTTGGACGCCACCGTACTTTAGTGTATGATCACAGTGGGGTTCAAACTAGTGGGATTTAAAGCTTGAAATTATTCCTTACAGTAACCTACATATGTTAAGGTGGCCCCATTTGCTAATTAATCACCATAACCCCTTGTTACTTAATTAATTGTTTTATATGTGATTATGTGAAATGGCCACACCATGTGGCTAGCCACATATAAGACTTTGTGTTCATTTATTACTTGCTCTATTTCTCTATGTGCAGTGTTTTAGAAAGAATAATAGAAAATACTAATAAAATATGATGGAAGTGGAGTTGGTTAAAAAATAAAAAAATTTAAAAAGCCAAAATGTGGAGAGAGAATATGAAAAAAATTATAATATGATGTGAGGAGATCACTAGTGGAGAGGAAAATTATAAAATATTGTTAGAAGTTTCGAAAACAAGAAAAATGAAGTAAGTAATAAAATACGAACATAAAAAGAAAATGGAGATAGTAATAAAATACGGGGGAATTATATTGAATATTGCAAAATATTGAGAGCTTAATCTAATCAAATCTAATATATATATTTAAAGGGGAGTTTTTCCCCGGGTTTTTAGAGGGCCACGTAGGATTTAATTTTCTTAGCGCGCCATGTAGAATTATAAATTTAAGTGGTAGCCAATTAAATAAGAGATTATTAATTTCTTTTACAATTAAATAATTCAAATGCCACGTAAGTAAAATTGGCGAATGAGATTTTAAAGTTTAAATAATTAAATACAAAATATTATCTTTTGAGATTAGTAATTTTATCTAATATTTTAAAACTAATATAACAACAATTTAATCACATAAATATAAATAATATTTTTGTTAAAAAAATACTAACAAATCGTGTATCGCACGGGCTTCATTTAGTATATATATAGGGGAGTTTTTCCCCGAATTTTTAAATAGCCACATAAGATTAAATTTTTTCAGTGGCGACTCTCAATGTTTTACATTATACATTTGTTCATCTGTATTATAAATCTTCCCTACCAATTTTTTTTGAACCCCTGCTTATGTCCCCATTATATGCCTAGAATTAAAGTCTCCATTAGTTTGTTTTTGGCTCGTTGTAAGGAACTAAGACTAGGGATATCTTTTCCGATCACGTTATATTGACGCTACATTAATACGGTTTAGTATTTGTGTAACTTTCTTAGAATGTAAATGGTACAACATATTGAGAATGAAGGAACTAGGAAGTATGTATATAAAGTATGTTAGACTCTTTGCACCTTGCTCATGAGTTGAACATAATTTTTTTTTTCTTTTCTAAAAGCAAACTGTGTTTTTCCATTGACTTGATACAGTCAATGTATTGGAATATTGAATAGTTAGGGCCTGTTCACATTTACTGAAATGAGCTGAACTGAACTAAGCTAAACTGAACTGAACTGATTGGAGCTAAATTGAACTGAACTGAATTGATTGGAGCTGAACTGAACTAAACTGAGCTGTAATGAATATTTTATGAAAGATGGAAATTAGGAGCAGAGCTGAATTGAACTAACTGATTGGAATTGAACTGAGTTAAACTGAAATTAAGTAAATGTGAACAGGCCCTTAATGCATCCTAGACATTTGATAGGAGGCTCTAAATTTTGAACAAAAGATGAAGTTTGGGACTTGTCCAACAACGAGTCTTGGAGGTGAGGACTATAGAAGAGGGATTAAGGGGTTGTTTACATTTATTGAACTGAACTGAACTGAACCAAATCAAACTGATTGGAGCTGAACTGAACTCAACTAAACCGAACTGAGCTAAAATGAATATTTAATGAGAGAAGAAAATTAGGAGCTGAATTGAACTAAACTAAACTAAACTGATTGGAGCTGAACTGATTGGAACTGAACTGAATTGAACTGAACTAAACTAAACTGATTGGAGCTGAATTGAACTGATTGGAATTGAACTGAACTAAATTAAAATGAAATTAAGTTGAAGTGAACAGGTCCTAAGTAGTCCCATTTTTAAAACTACTTGTGTAACACTCAAAATGAATAAAATATATCGATTGAGAGAAAAAGAGTTCCGGTACTGAGTTATACATTATTAATTGATGACTACTCTCTCCATTCTTGAATGTCTAACACAACTTTGATTTTATTATAACTCTTATCAAATCTAAACTTATTAACTAACTCCGTACAATATACAAGTATTAACCAGGAAATTATTGGGACTAATGGTTAATTGATTTTAATTTTTTTACACCATATGTAGGATGGAGCCTTTCCAATTTGGCCACCCATACAAACTTCTAAAAGTCATCAACTTGTTAAGTACGTGCTCAAGTCTTTATACGTCAATTCTCAATTTATTAAATTATTACGACGAGCCATGTTTTTCTGTCAGTTTCCTTGTATTTGTTTATTTATAGGACCATTGATGAGTACGTTGCAGCTGGGAGATTACTTTAATGGTACAATCAAGCTTTGTTAACCTTAACCATGGTACAAATAAAATGCAATTATGCAAGTATCAAGTACGCAACCTTGTAAAATTTAACGATCAATTACGTTGATTTATAAACCAACAATTTTGCAAGTATCAAGTACGGGTCTGTCCACATTTACTGAACTGAGATGAACTGAATTGAATTCAAATGAACTGATTGGAGCTGAACTAAACTGAACTGAAATGAACTAAGCTGAAATGAAAATTTTATGAGAGAGGAAAATTAGGAGCTAAACTAAACTGGACTGATTGAAGCTGAACTGAACTGAAATTAAGTAAATGTGAACAGAACCTACGGGACCTTGTAAAAATTCACGATCAATTACGTTGATCAAATACTGCATTTTCTGTCAATATTGTCCATTTTTGCTGATTTATAATTTTATGTGACCAATAATGAAGACAATTTGTAATAATATAGACAAATTGACCTTGCTCAATACGTTGCAGCTGGGAAATTACTAGTAAATTAATTGGCCAGAATTTAGTACTCCGTAGTAGTATTAAGCTTTGTTCACCTTATTAATAAGCTTTGTTCACCTTATTAATGGAACAAATTTTTGCAATGCAACCTTGTAATTCTTTTCTCTAAAATTTTTGTTCACCAGTGTTTCTGCATTGTTAACAAAAATTTGGAAATGAGAGGATGCATAATTCACTGTTATAATATGAAGTTTGTGTTTCAATTTTTTGTTTTCTTGCTTTTTTTCCTAAACCATGTTGAATCACTTTTCTTTAATTTCACTGGTTTCGACCAAGATAGTTCTCGAAATATTACCTGCAAGAATGATACACATTTTGAAGATGGAGTGATTCAGATGACGAAGAGTACAGTGGGTTCTAATCTTCAAGCAAGTGTAGGGCGAGCATCCTATAATCAGCCTGTTCGTCTCTGGGATAAAAAAACCAGCAAGAAAACAGACTTTACCACCCACTTTTCATTCCAAATTAAACCAGCAGACAACACTAGTCATTTTGGTGATGGTATGACTTTTTTCACAGCGCCTTTTGATGATTCTACAGAGTATGCTCCAGAGACTTCATATGGTCGGTGTCTTGGTTTGGTTGTTGCTGTCAATGTTACAAGTAAATATCGATTTGTTGCTGTCGAATTTGACACCTTCAAGAATTGGTATGATCTGCCTGGTGATCATTTGGGAATTGATGATACTTCGGTAGTTTCCCAGGTTGATGTTACAGTGGATGGGGGACTGAAAAACAGGTCTACAGCAAATTCTTGGATAACTTATGATTCTGTAACTAAGAACCTGAGTGTTTATCTAACTTATGAGGCTCATCCTGTGTTTAACGGGGAATCTAGCCTGTCGCATATCATTGACTTAAGCTCCATTCTTCCTGAAACAGTCAGAGTTGGGTTCACGTCTTCAACTGGTACATATGTTGAACTTCATAGCATCCTTTCTTGGGACTTCAACTCAACCTTAGAAGATACCGATATCAATGTACCATGGCAAAATCACACAACTGTGACAAGCAGCCACAGCAGTAGCAAAGCAGCAATGATTGGTGGCCTTGTAGCCGGAATCAGTGTCTTAATAATTGGTTCAGGATCAGCTATGTTTATGTGGGGGCGGAGGAGATCAAGGGGAAGTAACGGTAACATGAATTTTGACCAGGATACTGGGCCAAGGAGGTTCACTTACAATGAACTTATTCGTGCCACTAGCAACTTTCTCGAGGAAAGGAAGTTAGGGCAGGGAGGTTTTGGAGGCGTGTATAAAGGTTTTTTGTCTGATATAAGCCAGATTATTGCAGTCAAGAAGATATCAAAGGGGTCTAAACAGGGGGAAAGGGAGTATGTATCAGAGGTGAAGGTTATCAGTCGTCTAAGGCATAAAAATTTGGTTCAACTTCTTGGTTGGTGCCATGAGAAAAAGGAATTGCTTCTAGTTTATGAATTTATGCCTAATGGAAGTCTTGACTCCCATATTTTTGCAGGCAAGAGGACAACGGTCTTACCATGGGCAGACAGGTACAAAATTGCATATGGCTTGGCATCTGCCTTGCTATACCTCCACGAAGAATGGGAGCAATGTGTGCTGCATAGGGATATCAAGTCTAGCAATGTCATGCTTGATTCTAATTTCAATGCTAAGCTTGGAGATTTTGGGCTTGCTAGGCTCGTTGACCATAATCGAGGATCACAAACAACTGTATTGGCATAAAAAAGAAAAAAAGGAGTTAGGGTCAACGCCAGAAAATATGGTCAATATCACCCGTCTAAGGTGTAATCTCATAAAAAAATTATATTTAAGTATTTTCTCAAATAAAAATAAAAATAAAAATAAAATTATAAGATTTTTTTTTTTTTTTTTAAAAAAAAATGTTTTAAAAAGTGGTTTTTACAAATTTTCGTTGTTACATCAATGTTCTTCTGGATTTACAGGGAGTAGTGCTGAAGTGATGACTCTTCTCCCTTGTTGTCTGGGAATGCAGTGCTGAAGTCTGATTTGCCAATTTATACTAAGTTTATATATTGTAAGTTTATTAAAATTATTTCATTACCGTAACTCTCTGAAGATACATACAGTCTGTACTACTTGTCTACATTGAAGTATTTCAAGAATATTGCTGCATCAATTTAATTATGTTTTCACTCTAGTATTGTTATTTACTCCATATTTGTTTCTAGATGTAATACTGCTTTGTTAATCATATATACCTTACAATTTAAAGAAAATCTGTTTTATGATTCATCCCATTATTTGCCAAAGGTTAGTCCTTCACCAGGAAAGCTTTTACTCTCTCATTGCCTCGTTGTAAGAATCTAAGACTAGAGATCTCTTTTTCAGATTGCTTACTATTGATTCTACATTAGTACCTGTAATAATTGTGAAATTTTCTTAAAAGGTAAATGGTGTCACATTTTGGAAATGGAGAAATATGTATATACTGTACGTCTTTTTTCTTTGCACCTAGCTCATGAGTTGAATGTGTTTTTTTTTCTTTCTTTTTAGAGAGCAAAATGTTTTTTCCATTGACTTGAATTTGTGCATGCAATGTATAAATGTTTTTTAATCTAGAATAGTTATTTCCTGGACTTTTAATAGGAGGCTCTAAATTTGAACAGACTTAATTGACCCTGTACTAAGCTAGAACTAGTGGTTATTGTGTATTGACGCTCTAGAAGTCTAGAATAAATAAAATTGATCGCGAGAGAAAGAGTTAATGGAAGGTCACATATCGCATTAGATATGAAGAACAAGAAAGACTACGTGGTAGGATACACATCACATGTTCACATAAGTAAATCAACTTGGATGAAATGGATAACAGGACTACGTATTTAAAGAAGAAGGGAGTATTTATTTTCCATAGTAAATGTCAGCATTGGTAATTGACAGTAATAAACATATGGATTTTAATTATTTTTCTTTAATCTAGATTTCTTTGACTAAGTTTGTTATGACCAGTTAGACACGGTCCTTTATTTATAACATAGGATTATTAGAACAGTGTGTGTTTGACATAGTAAACAAACTGAAGCTGAAATATTACTACCAGAAAACTGAATATAGTGTAACCTGGACTTTTCTAAGTAAATTTAAGCCAAGCTTTGTATTCCAACTTATAAATTTTATCTGCCTTTCTTCATTCTTTTGTATCTTTTGCTCTGTATTTCAATCTACTGAAATGAGCATATCAATATGCAGCTTTGGTTCGTCATTATACTTCATCCCAATGACCTATAGTATTGACATGTATCTAATAAAGTTGCACTAGATATATATGTATTATTCAGTGTTCGTTTTGAAAATCTGTCCTATATATATTTAGTGGAGATTGTGGGGAATTCAACTTGTGACTTGACGTACATAGGAACATTTTTTTTTTCTATTTGGCCGCCCAAGGTAGAATTTTGAAGTCGTCAAGTGCCAAGTCTTAATTATCAATAATTTTTAAGGTTTTACCACTATATATATGATTTTTTGTCATTGTCTTTTTAATGATTTGTCATAAACTAATTGTCGTGCTCAATAAGTTGCAGCTGGGATATTACTAGTTAATTACATTAAGTTTGAAAAAATCAAGCTAGTCTATCGTATCAATGATACAAATGAGCTAGTCTATCGTATCAATGAATTTGTAGCTACATTTTATTATTTATCTACCTTCTTGTAGCTTAGCACCAAAAAAAAAGCTACAATTTTGTGTCTTAATAAATTTTATTACTGCATTGTTTAGAATTTTCAGAATGAGTGAATCAATTATTGTGAGTACAAAGTGTGTTTCATTTGTTTCTTTGCTTTTATTTATCAACCAGGTTGAATCACTTTTCTTTAACTTCACTAGATTTGACCAAGATAGTTCTCGAAATATCACCTACAAGAATGATACATTTTCTGCAAATGGGGTGATTCAGCTCACAAAGAGTGTGAGAGGTGATGATCTTAAAAGTCAGTGTAGGACGAGCATCCTATAATCAACCTGTCCGTCTTTGGGACAAAAAAACCAGCAAGAAAACAAACTTTACCACCCATTTTTCATTCAAAATCACAAGAGTGGGCAACAATAAACGTTTTAGTGACGGGATGACTTTTTTCATAGCGCCTTTTGATAATTATACAGAGTATGCTCCAGAGAATTCAACAGGTGGGCGTCTTGGTTTGGTTGTGAACGCCAAAGTTACCAGTAAATATCAATTTGTTGCTGTCGAATATGACACCTTCAGGAATGGGTATGATGTGATTGGTGATCATTTGGGAATTGATGTTGCGTCTGTAGTTTCAAAGGCTAATAATACAGTGGATGGGGGCCTGAAAAACAGGAGTACTACGGCAAATTCTTGGATAACTTATGATTCTGTGACAAAGAATTTGAGTGTTTTCCTAACTTATGATGATCATCCTGTGTTTAATGGGGAATCTAACCTTTCATATATCGTTGACTTAAGCTCCATTCTTCCGGAAACAGTCAGAGTTGGGTTCTCTGCTGCAACAGGTAAAAATGTTGAACTTCATAGCATCCATTCTTGGGACTTCAACTCTACTTTAGAAGATACGGATATTAGTGTGACAAGCCGCCAAAGTAATAGCAAAGCAGCAATGATTGGGGGCCTTGTAGCTGGAATTAGTGTCTTAATAATTGGATTAGGCTCAATTGTGTTTATGTGGAGGCGTAGGAGATTCAGGGAAAGTAATGATGACAAAAATATTGACATGGATAATGATTTTGACCAGGATACTGGGCCAAGGAGGTTCACTTACAATGAGCTTATTCGTGCTACTAGAGACTTTCTCGAGGAAGGAAAGCTAGGACAGGGAGGTTTTGGAGGCGTCTATAATGGTTATCTGTCTGATCTAAGCCGGGATATTGCAGTGAAGAAGATATCAAGGGGATCGAAACAAGGGAAAAAGGAGTATATCTCAGAGGTGAAGGTTATCAGTCGTTTGAGGCATAAAAATTTGGTTCAACTTCTTGGTTGGTGCCATGAACAAGGAGACTTGCTTCTTGTCTATGAATTCATGCCTAATGGAAGTCTTGACACCCATCTATTCGCCAACAAGAGGAGGATGGTGTTACCGTGGGCAGAGAGGTACAAAATTGCCCATGGCTTGGCATCTGCCTTGCTGTACCTGCACGAAAATTGGGAACAATGTGTGTTGCATAGGGATATCAAGTCTAGCAATGTCATGCTTGATTCAAATTTTAATGCTAAGCTTGGAGATTTTGGGCTTGCTAGGCTCGTAGACCACAATCGAGGATCACAAACAACTGTATTGGCCGGCACTTTAGGCTACCTAGCACAAGAGTGTGTTATGACAGGTAAATCAAGCAAAGAATCTGATGTATACAGTTTTGGGGTGGTGGCCCTTGAAATTGCTTGTGGAAGGCGGCCTGTTGAAACCAATGAAGAGCCTAGTAAGGTGATGAGTATGATGGAGTGGGTGTGGCAGCTCTATGGAGAAGGCTGTCTTCTTGATGCAGTCGATAATATGCTTCAAGGAGAATTTGACATTCGGGAAATGGAATGCTTAATGATTGTTGGGTTGTGGTGTAGTCATCCTGAATATACTTTTCGTCCTACTATAAGACAGGTTATAAATGTTCTTAACAAGGAGTCTCCTTTGCCTAACCTGCCTACAAAATTCCCGGTTCCTACCTATAGCTCTCCACCAACGACGAATGCAGAGCCTTTCTATGTATCATCCTCCTCTGGGTTAACAGGCAGCAGTGCTACCACAAGATCCTCTTCTTCTCACATAGTTGTTTCCGGCGCTACTCCTTTACTGCTAGAGAATGCAGCAGTCTGATCAGCCTTATATTTCTAGAATCTAGATTTTATTCGCCTGAACAAAATTGCCCTTTTTATATTCTTTATGGTAGCAAGTGATTCCTTGGTGTTTTGCATGTTGTATCGTCATTTGATTGAATAACTTTTTAGGCTTTCTAGTATAAGTACTAAACTAAAAAAGAAACATATGTAGGCACCTAATTTAAAAGGGAAACATTCAATGACTTCATAACCTGATTACAGAAAATGCTACATTAAATCTCCTTTGGTTGCTCTATCAATCTTCTTTGTTCATTGTATTCCTCTAGAATGTTTCCAACTTACAAGTCTTACTATATTAGTACTCCCCCCGTCCCTAAATTACATTCCTACTTCTATCATTTAATCCTCACATAATAGAGAGAAATAAGAATGTAATTTAGGGACGGAGTGAGTAAAAACAGATTGAATGATTTAATCATCATGAAAGGCTGATAGTGTGAATTAACGTGAAAGTTTTTTCTATATATTTGATTGTAGTTCTTTAAATTTATGTCTTAATGTGCAATAATGAGTATTTTCCAACAAAAAAATTTGAAGAAAAAAAGTATGTTTTAGAACGAAATATGCAGGTTGAAAAATAATTAGCATATAAATTGTATAATGACTAAAAAAAAATTGTTAATCCATAAAAAATAATTAGCATATAAATTGTATAACGACTATAAAAAACATTTAATCCATACAATAGACTAATAAAATCAAAGTTAGAGCCAACAAATATTTAATGGTTCAGCAGTACTACAAAAGATCTTCATGGATTTTTCACTTCCGGAAACATGATACATACAAGTATCAAGCGAGTAAAAAATTATACTATTTCCTTTAAGCCTTGAAATATATATCTTATTTAATTTCTCATTCCGTCATCTGAGGTCGGTATTGAAATCGACGATGAACGATGGATAACCAAGCTATAGTTACCAAGATTTTGAACATCAACCCAATGTTTTTTTAAAATGGTTAAACTCGAACACTTTGACTCTCGATCCCATATGGCCAATGAATATAGCAAGGAGTTTTCCACCACACTCAACTGAGTTGAATGAAAATGGGCAAATGGAATAACTGGAGTGTGATAAATGTTCCAACTTCCACCTCCATCTACCAATTCAAATGCTCCGAGATGCCCAAGGTTCCTGTCAAGTACGTAAAATGCTCCATTAAAATAAACTGGACTACCAGTCCCAACACTAAATTCATTGTCATAGTTGTCCACATCAAATCGAGTCCACCTTTTATCCCCATATCGATGGTAGTAGATGACTAAATCATCCTCGTAAACAAACTTAACAGTCACACAGTCAGGAGACGTAGGATTTGTTGAGAATCCAATGCTTCCAACATTATAAAGTCTGACCTCTTCATTTGGGGGATAGTCCCCCTTTACTCTTGTTAAGGGATTGCAAAATTGTATCGATTGTGTCTTCGCAATAGATAATACTAGCCACCCATCTTTGGTGAAATCAATAATGAAAGGATCCAAAGATAAATCAAGGATCATACTATGTGAGTCTTCTCGACTTGGGTCCATCAGTTGAAATAGCCCGCGACTATTCTTAAACCAGATAAACAAGGGGAGTATGCTACTGGTATTGGCTCACAATTTAGGTAGTGTTGAGTGAAATGTCTTACAACTAGCTCGGAAATTCCAATAATCGAACAAATGCATATGCTTGGACACCAAGTGTATCATGTTTTTGGGAAGCTCGACGAACATGCTGCTTCTTTCTTTTGGCAGCTCATCAGCGTAATCACTCATAATGGTGTTGTTCAATTGTTGTCCTTGGATTTCCTGGACAACTAGTAAGCTCTCACTACAAAAAACAGAGAAAGTTGGTTGAATACAAAGTTAAAATAGAAACGAACTTAAACAACAGAAGAGAACTAGTACAAGTACTAACCTATAAAAATGTTGTTGTGGTGGCATCATATTTACCCAAATAGGCGAGCTAAAAGGGGTGAGCAAGGCTTCACAAGTCAAATGCAGAGTCAATGTACCATCATCTAATCTATAAACATAAAGGAGTCGACCATCAGTGGGAGAAAGAAAGTAGACACAATTCTCTCGGACTCCAGTTGATGTCGCAGTTCCCCAACACCAAGTACAACAATCATCACCTACAAAAAGCGAGCGACCACACAAACACTTAGTCTCTACACACTTCGATCCAACCTTATGCAATTCCCAAACTTTGACTTCACTGGTTCGAGTATCCCACAAAAAGCGTCTAAAAACACCCACAAAATATATGACTGCAAGATTCAACCAAATAATACTTTTGATTATAACAATCACGATCACAAATTGGATACGTTAGCTGGTGCAAGGGCTTTAAGGCGAGAGAGTAGGATCCGGAGCCATCATCTGCTACCGCGACTTCCATACTCACCATATATTCCTCTAAATAATAGTCATCCGGATCTTTTATAACAGCCATGTCGTACATAACTCCATTTACAGCCGCGACTAATGCTATTTCAGCAATATTACATATCCTATGACTCACCCAACTAGTACAATTTATACAACTAGTACAATTTATACTCGGACTACAAGAAAATACTCTGTCTTCAAAGAACAAAAACAGAACACAACCCTTTGGATTATTTGGAAGAGAATTCGAAGTGATCACACAACAGCTTAACAACTCTTCGTCTTCACTAATTGGTAATGCTGGAAGAAGAAAATACTCTAAAGTATTAGATTTTGCATAGAGAATAGGTTCTTCTTGGAAAAATCGCGTAAGATTAACCATCCTTGACAACAAGCTCGCGTAGTTTTGCCTCGCAATTCAGGAATGCTTTTGATGTACAACTCGTTAGAAAATATGTTGCAGAACATCAGAAGATGTTCGATTCTATAAGGATGGGTACAGATCGAACGCCATTATCATCCCATCTCAAAATTATGTGATCTTTGACAAGAAATTGGCGACCATCCCATTTCCAGCTCCACACCAGTTCCCATTTCATTCAGATCTAAGTTTCATCGGTTCAAACTTAATTGATTACTCGCAATACCAGGTATTTCAATTCTTATTTTTCAATTATATGCAGTTAATTGATTCCACCATGCAAAACACGAAGCAAAGCTGGTTGGGGTTATTTCGTGACTACAATTGGACGATTAAGATCCCAATTGCAGTTACGCCGGTCGTACAACCTCCGGATTCCAGTACTTGCCAATTTACACTAAATTCAGCACGTGCGACAACTGCGATTACAATGCCGGGAAAATTACAAATGGTGGAAATTGGCTCCAAGCAGAATTCCCATTCACCATTACCATGAAATTGTCGGTGATTGCCAAACAAAAATTCTGAAATCCACACTACACGGTTCGACGACGAATATGAAGCTAGGTCAAAATTAAATTACAAATGTACCCCAACTTTTGAAATGGATTTGACGAAAAAACCCCCTGATGTGCAATACAAGACAATTAATATCAGATTCGAGTGATTTCAGTTGATCAATACATTTAAAGGTTATAATATATTATAATAAGTACATAAGATAAGAATATATTCTATATGCTATATCTAGCTATGATGATAATATTGTACGAGTAGCAATATTCTCACTTCTATAATATAATCATCAACATATTAAATTTAGTAAAATTAAAATCAAATTACAGAGGACCAAAATACAAGGTAAGAGAAGATACCAAGTTAGTACAGTAATATCTTAAAGCTAGCAGCTAGCCCAATATAGCTCGGAGAACCTTCAACTCGTACGTCAATAGTATTGCCTTGACTCTGTGTTTGATTATATTTTCCTATTTTTACTTTCTTTATAAAGTTTAGTTTTTATTGACAATTAAATGTACTACGACGTAATACAATATACTCAAGTTTTGCATTTATTCCTTTTTCCCCTTAGGTCCCGTTTGGTTTAACGTAAAACATTTTCAATGGAAAATTAGTTTTCATGGAAAACATATTTTCAAGGAAAAACACAATTGCAAATTAGTTTTCCATTGTTTGGTTGCATACAAGAAAAGTCCAAGAAAAATAAAAAATAAGAGTGGAAATATAGGGATGAATGAGAGGGAAGTAAAAAAAGAGGTAAGGAAGAGAGGAAAATGTGGCTTCCCTTGTTTTTGGAAGGAAAATGTTTTCCATCATTAAAGATGAAATTTTTCACCCTTGAAAAATTGTTTTCCACTCCATAACAAACCAAACAAAGGAAAATGGGAAAAAAAAATGAAAAATTCATTTTCTATGAAAACCTTTTACATCAAACCAAATAGGGCCTTAGTTTTGTTTTAGGAATATTACATTATATAAATAATTTTTGTTTTTGGAAACAACAATATATGGCTTAGCCACATTAGTATATATATATATATATATATATATATATATATATACTTTTCCATGATTAAAGGGAAATATTGAATTATCTCTTCACATTTATTCTTAACTAGCATAGTGCTTGTGCGATGCACGGTTTATAAATCAAATTATTAAACCCGTAGGAAAAATAAAAATAAAAACAAAGGTAATTCATTTACTATTAAAGGACTTGTACTAATGCTCAATGGAAAAAAAAATTAAAGGAACGTTATTTGAATCTCTTTTAATTTTTTTATAATGTTATTTTATTAATTGAAAAATAATTGAATAATACTCCACATAGGTATATAAGAAATGAACTAATTTATTTATATCTCCCGTTGAGAAAAAACTAAAATTTTCTTATCATACCATCCGCATTAGTAGCTACAATCAATCTAATATATACATGTTTTATTTACCCGTCGCACTCATTAAATCTATAGACACAATAATAACTTTATATTTGACCTACCAGAACATATATTGTCCTAAGTTAAGCATTGTGCCAAAAACTATATATTATATAATAGTCATATACATAACCAACAACTGATTAAATATAGTATACGACACAAATACTTCGTATATAGGTATGGATACAGATAATTTTATATAAATAAAATATACATAGTATATATTACTAAGATTTATCCCTACCTTAATTATAAAAAGGTTAACAAAACTCTTATAATAGTGCATAGACATTTACATATCTAAAAATGTTCTTTTTACATATATTTACCTTAAAATTGTCTCTTGAATTCGCTAAATTGATTTAAAAGGTTATGTTTATTTCAATATTTAAAGCCATTTACTATTTTCATTTCCTTATGTTTTAATTTTTCTATTTAGAATTTATTAGACTATTAGGTGTCAAGATCGAAGTCAATATCTTTTTACGTACAATCACTAAATCAAAGTCGCTCAACTAAAGTTTTGGACATTGCATAGCTACACAACATCCAACACATTTAATGATTACATGCAAATAACTTTAATAAAATTACGCATTCGATATAAGTTATTAAACAATTTAACTATATATACATTTTGATAGGTTTATATCTTTCATATTAACAAAAATTTACAAATGTTATTATTATATTTTGAAAAAAAAAATTTAGACTTTGGAGTTTTGTATAAGATAGATAAAGGATAAGTTAATTCCCGTCATATATGCATTGAGTTTTGGGTGTTCTATCCGGTTCAATTCACCCTTTGGGCTAATCCAGATTTTAGGATCAATTTTAGTTATTAGGTTCCACTCCCCTTCCGATTGTTGTTGCAGGGGAGCACATAGGTCCTCCCTACCAAGTGTAGTCTCAATCACCAGTACTACACCAACAACCAATTGGTGTAGTGGTGAATGAGACTACACTTTGGTATGCAGGATACGTGTTATAATATAAAATATTATATTATATACATATACTTTTTTATATTATAAAAAATATTACATTATATACGCATACTATTATGTTAAAAGTATTATTATGTATAAAACAACATAAATTTATTTAATTTTCGATTATATACGTCAAACTAAATATTAACGATTTTATATACGTCAAACTAAATATTATCGATTTTATTTAATTTTCATAAAAAAAAATCAATATTAGCCTTTTAAAATACGAAATATTTGTTTCCTTAATCATGCCACTTTAATCATATTGCTTCAAATTAGTTATTATTCTTAAACTTAACTATAAATAAAGATTGGAAAGATTTTATAGATTATTTGTAGTATTGGAAAGTATATATTTATTATAAAAAATTAAATCAATATTTATGTTAGGAAATCATGAAAATCTTATGCATGTATAGAAACTTGCTTTTATTGTTTGAAGTTTAACAAAAATAACTATGTTTGAATATGTAAACAGTAATTATATAGATATATTTTATACATAAGTAAGCCAATGAGAGAGTGACATATGTCATCCTCATATTGAGGCGCTTGTCTTTTAGTATAATATATATATATAGATAGATAGATTATGCAGTATTTTTGCTCCTCAACAAAAAAAAAAAGAAAAAAAAATGCTAATTTTTGTATGCGGCTGGCTACATGGTGTGTCAGGGGTTACTTGTAGGGTGTTACTAGTTTTGTCAGGGTTACTTGTAGGTGTTACTTGTATTCTAGGGTTACTTGTAGGGTGTTACTAGTTTTGTCAGGGTTACTTGT